AGTCCAAGTCAAAGAGGTTGTTTGATATTTAATACTTGCCAATGAACCCTCAATGTGGCTTATCCCACCAATGTTATGTTCAAAAAGTTGGTATATCATTGTCTTCCACAATTGGTATACTTTTAAAATTTTACTCAAAAAAGTATCCAAGGATTGTATCAGAATTGAGGTTTTCTTCTTTAGATAAGAAGATTAGATTCATAATAGACTTGTCTTAGGATTGGACTATCTGAAAAATAATTGCTATGTTTAAAATATATTAGTTAGATCAACTTGTTATTAGGTTATAAGAGCCTAAGAAATGCAACTTTGACTTGTTCTTCTTTAATCGGAAACAAACTATGATAAATAAAAGCACATAGACTGATTGCTTACCCTTAAAGAACAAGTAAATTGATGTTTTGTAGGTTTCCTTTTTATTTTATAGTGCGCATGTAAAAGAAATTGCCTAGGAAATAACCTAATATAATTTAATACACATGGCAAGATTCTTAGGGATTAGGTATTAGGGTTTTAGAGCATTGCCTATAAATAAGCAACATGGTTAGCCATTGGGTTGCATCTTGGATATTTTTCTTTGAATAAAATTACTCAATATGGAGTTTTATTTTCTTTTAATATTCAAATCTTGTTTTTATTTTCTTTGAAGATTAGATAGTATCTTGACTTTAGGATGTGATGTTTGCAACTTTCTCGCAATTTAAGTTGTTAAAGTAGCGGTGAATCTGAAAATATTTTTTAGAATGAGCATATATATTAATAATATAAAATTTTTATATGAAAAAGGGTACACATAGAATTTCAAGATGGAGACAACTAATAAAACAGACAATTAGTTAAAGAAAATTTGATTTTTAAGATGCACTATTACCTACCCTAAACACTATATGAATCTGCCACTGTGCTAAAGCTCTTTTACTTTAGAAGGTAGGTTAAAGTCTTTTGATAATCTTTATTGGCTCTTCTTGAAGGTTGGTTAGAGTTCTTTGATTGTCTTTGTTTATTCTTCCTGAACCAAAGGGAACAACAATCCATCCATTCCTTCTTTCATAATATCTGTATCTCTTCTTGAATTTCTTTTCTTCCAAGTTTCTTTTGATTTTTTATATTCCTTAGTTTATTTTTTAACTTGCACAGCTTTTTTTTTTCTTTTTTGTTCTAAAAGAGAGAATACTTAACTACTTTCTCATCTTGAATTATTAAGGCTATCTTATCCAGCGACTGGTGGAGTTCGTATAATTTTACTGGGATTGTCCATGCAAGCTTGGTCTAGGTTATCACTTTTTGTTTAAAGTTACTAATCGGGGCTTTCATTAAAATTAATTATTGATCCTCTTAACTTCGAGGCTTTTATAATTTACAACACAAAACAAAAATAAATAAAATAATAGGTCATTGGGGGAATCTCTCAGTTTCAATTGGTCACGAGAAAGAAATGCAAGAATAAAACCTTGTTGGTATGCAAGCATTCATTTGGCTCCATTGTCACTTTTGCTGTTGCGGCCAAGCCAACATCTAACTTTTTAAATAGCCTCTAAAGGGATCCCTATATATAATAGCGGAATTAAACATTTTATTTTAAAAGTTAATTATAAAAAATAAATATTAATTTTATTTATCAATTATGTGTATTAATATGTAACATTATGGAATAAATATAGATATTATAAATCTTTCACTCAGAATTTCTTAGGAAGAAAATAAAACAAAATTATAATAGTTTGACACTCAACTTATAGAAAAAAAAAACTTCTGAAATTAATGTGTATATATGTTATCTATTATATGTGTATATATGTATATCTATTATATGTTATCAATGTTCTATTAGTTTTAAAGCTTTTACTTGTAGGGAAATTTAATATTTTAAATAATGAGTTTAAATTCATATATTTTATTTATAATTATGATAATTTAAATTATATATATACAACTTGTAGGAAAATTATATATATATATATATATATATATATATATATATATATATATATATATATATATATATATATATATATATATATCATTCTATCCCTATTTAGATAAGTTATCTTAATTGATTTAAGTATTCGATCATCAAATTTCAATATATATTATTTTCGTCTTATTAGTGTCAATACTCTCAACATAAGAGTGTTTAGTTTTGAATACGTGAGCTAAAAAACATTGACTAACAAAGCAATCAACATGAGTTAGGACAAAGGGCACTTTAAAAAAACAAAGTGTTATTTTTTCAAAATTGGCAAATGTAATGTGAGATGAGGATGATGGGTGATGGGTGATTATAACAAAAGATATGAATGCGATATATCCCTTCACAAGCATGCGTTGGCTTTGTTCGGTCTCACCAATTAGGCATGCCTAAGCTATAATTATTAGTGTTTGCCCAAAAAACAATAAATGCTTTTCCCTTTCCACTACCAAACTTTGCTATCTTTTATGACCAAAGTAATGGGTTACATAGCACCTCAGCCGCACAACATTTTCCAATGTTTTTTTAAAAATAATTTAAGTTGATTACACGGTAATATAGGTTTAGAATTTTACTTAGTTATTGACAACATACATATCTCGCAGACATAACTATTAGAACTCATAACTTTTAAAGAAAATAATATTCCCTTTATTCACTAATACCACTTAATAATTTTTTTCCGCTATGTTCTTTTATTTTGTAATTGATTTCAATAGTGATTAAATCATAGAAATAAATGTATGATAAAGGAGTGTGTCACATTAGTTACCACACAAGCTAATTAGGTAATGTTAATTCTTGTTTTTATTTAGAGAAAGATTTGATTTATTTCATTTTGGAGCCAAGGATAATAAATAATATTTTTTTAAAAACTTCATTTAATTATGGAAGAGCTTAAGCCAATTAAAATTAATGTAGGTAAAGTATACAAATGGTTCGGAGATCATAGGGTACTGTTTTATTGAGTCCTCTAACTATTAAATATTACAAAAAGAAATTCCCTGAATATAGGACATTATTTTCTTGAGTTCATCGACTATTAAAAGTTACAAAATAGTTACCTCGACTGTTCATATGTTTTCAAATTCATCTTTTTTGTTAAAAATTAATGGTTGTATGAATTAGACGTTAACCTGTTGACTATGATATGATAAAATACAACTCAAACGGTTATGAGATAATATTTTATCATATCTGAATCAATAGGTTAATATAGAGCTTAGATAACCATCAATTTTTTAATAGAAAATGACGAGTTTGGAACATATGAATAGTCGGGTGGTCATTTTATAAATTTTAATAGTCATGAGACTAAACAAAGCAACACCCTATAATTGGAAACTTATTTTGTAACTTTTAACAGTCGGGCTCAACAAAATAATGTACTATAGTTGGGGATCATTTATGTACTTTATCTGATTAATTTAGATGTTTTATTTAATTAAATCGGTTTTAGTTAATTCAATTTCTTTATTTTTTTTTGGGTAAGAAAATGAAAACTATGTAATTACTTAATCCTAATTACCCTCTTCATACAAGAGGTGGCTTATATCAGCAGGAGTTCCTGTATGAATCTGGTTTGTCTATCTTCAAAGTTGACGTTCCTTGCTAGTTTATCTGCGATTTTGTTTCCCTCTCTGTGAACATGTTACACTCTGAGAGTCCAAGCTCAGTTTATCAGCTCTTTATATATGTTGTTATGGTTAGTGTTCCATCTTTGTTAAAACTACAGTTAAGACGGTTTTGTTAATTGCTAATCAATTATTAAAATTTATAACAGAATTGAAGAATTTAATTAAATTAAAATTTATCATTTTTAATATATTTTAAATATATAAATTATCGGTTCTATTGGGTTACTTTAGATCGTATGTCGATGGTTAACACCAGTTATAATTATTTGTTATTTATTTATTTATTTATTTATTTATTTATTTATTTATTTATTTATTAATAATTCATATAAATTCAATATATTACTCAGGTTTGAAGTATATTTATAAATATCTATTTGTCCTGTTACTCTTGGTTCAAATTTTGAAAATTTAATTCAGTTAATTTAAATATAAATATAATTTAATTAGTTTGAAGATTTAATGATAAATAAATAAGGATTAACTTCACCTAATGAATAATATATTCAATTTAAAAGAATATTTTTAATTCAAATTTTACCTCGAGAATAAATTGAAAATCACATCATAAAACTTTTATTGAAAATGATGATTGTTTTTTTGGTAAACTAAGAGAAAATGATGATTGTTAGATAAGGATCAACCTCACCTAAGGAAGAATATATTAAATATTGTTTTACTTCTCATTACAGACGCGTATATAATATTAATGATATTAATGATTGCATATGAATATTGTTCAACTATGTATTTATTTATACATGCATTACCTTTTTTCTATATTTTTAATTTCTTGACTGTCGGAGGTCTTCCACGAAAGCTACTCTCAACCTGACGTTGGGGGCATCCTATTACCATACCTCCCCTTACCCAATTGCATATAGGAATTGAGTTTTGTTGTTATTGTTGTTGTATCTTTTAAATTTTAAATTTATTAAATTATGTAAATATCCTACCTTTAATTTCAAATGAAATATCAAACAAAATTTAAAATAAAGTCAAGTATTTTTTTATAATTACTTTTAACACATAATTTTTTAAATTTATCAAACATCTAAATTTAAGTTAATCCTAATTGAAACCAATCATTTGCGTCAAATTAAGAATTTATAAATCATAAAGGTTTTCTATATTTCCCTGAAACATTTTCAAATGGATGAAAATTCAATGGAATCAAATGACTAAAATTGAACATGATTTTTTTACTACTAAAACTAAATAATGGATTCATATTATTATTTTTATACACAACTAAAAGTAACAGTGAATATGAATAGTTAAGCCTCTTTTTCCATTACTCCTTGGGCAATTCTGTGTCTCTTTAGCTTTCAATTTCATTAAACACTCTTTCACCAAATCCCGTCTTCTTGAAGTCCACCCCCTTTTACCCCACCACCATTTCTTCTCTCTTCCCCTCTACCCTTTGTTTATCAACGTTTTCATCTTCATAGCCAAGACATCCAAGAATAGAAGTTGAAAGGTTTTAGAGCTCATCAAATACTAATTCCTTTCATTCATGGCTCTCTTAATTCTCTTCCTACTAACCTGTGTATCACTTCCATTGGCTACACCAGATCCCAGCGACGAGTCTTGTTTAACTCACTTAAGCCAAACTTTGAAAGACCCCTTAAACAACCTGCGAAACTGGACCAAATCCACCTTTGCGAAGCCTTGCAGCGGTTTCACTTCTTATCTCCCTGGCGCCACATGTAACAACGGTCGAATCTACAAGCTTTCCCTTACCAACCTCTCTCTCCAAGGCTCTATCTCGCCTTTTCTCTCCAATTGTACCAATCTTCAGTCGCTTGATTTGTCTTCAAACTCTATATCAGGTCCCATCCCTCAAGATTTACAGTACTTGGTCAACCTGGCCGTGTTAAATCTTTCATCAAATCGTCTAGAAGGAGAGATCCCTCAGCAGCTTACGTTATGTGCTTATTTAAACGTCATTGATCTTCACGACAATTTGCTTACCGGTCAGATCCCTCAAGAATTAGGCCTTCTGGCACGCTTGTCAGCTTTCGACGTCTCTAAAAACAAGTTTTCAGGGCAAATACCAGCATCTTTAGGGAACAGAAGTGGGAACTTGCCGAGGTTCAATGTTACTTCTTTTGAAGGAAACAAGGGTCTTTATGGATACCCTTTACCACCTATGAAAAGCAAAGGCTTGTCTGTTTTAGCCATTGTTGGAATCGGATTGGGAAGTGGACTTGCTAGTTTGGTGCTTAGCTTTACTGGAGTTTGTATTTGGTTGAAAATTACAGAGGAAAAGATGGCAGATGAAGAAGGGAAGATGAGTCAGTTCATGCCTGATTATTAAAAACTTCCATATTTGATTTAACACGCCATTGAAGATTACTGAGCTAAAATGGAAAGATTGGTAATCCCAGGTATGTTATAATTCTTCTTCCTTTCTTCTCAATTTCGGTGAGGAATTTGGGCTAATCTCTTTTGACCGAGTTTTTTTTGGGGAGAATTTTTTTTCTTCTTGTTAGTTTTCTTTTGGGAGATTTTCTGTAGTATTTGATTTTCAACAATGTATATGGAGTAATTCAAACATGAGCCTGCCAATTTTCAAATTGCAATCTTGTTTTTTCTCCATGGAGTGCATGGTTTGATGGAACTGCACTGTTATGTTTGTTGGTGGCAATGGCTTGGAGAAAAGAAAAAGAAGAAGAAAGAAATTGGTGGGGACCTAGATGTTTAAAAAGTACTGAGGACTGAAACACGGTTGCATTTATTAAAAAAAATGCACTTTAACAACTTGGGATTCTCGTGGGTTTGTTCATGTGAGCTGGTGGTGCATGGTGGGAGACCAGCACTGCCTCGTAGTCGTATGTGTAAAATTTGTATACTATTTTATTCCTTACAACAAAATTTTAACTCTTTAGGCTTTTGGTCAAAGCCCCGAACCCAACATTCTGGACGGTTTCCTGCTTAGTTCCGAGTCTCTCACCGTTGCATCTAAAAGAAAGTTTTGTTTTCATGAGTTCAAGACACTTGGATTTCCTTGCCCTTCTCTTTGGGTTCTTTTTTTAGTTTATGGGGAAAATTTCATCGAGAAACGTATCAAAAATATACAAGGTCGTGCAATTGAAGTATTGAATGTTTTAAAATATTCTTGTAAGTATTAAATAAAGATTAGCAGGTTTAATATGAGCAGATATCGGATTCTTTAAATAATATTAAAAGTTTGAATTATGATATTAAAAATAAAATAAACTGAATTAGAATGTTCGATTTCATAGTGTACTTATGATATACTCAATTTAAATTGTTCAATCAATAAGTTAGATAATAGATACCAATATTATTTAAACAATACCCTTATAAATACTTTGATAACATAATTTTTATTTAAAATTTAGTTCATCACACATTCGTCATTATCATTTAAATCATATTCATAGATATAATTATGTTATAATTTCATTTTTTATACAAATAGTTTTTCTTTATGACTTATATTTTTTATTTAAATATTTATTTTCTGTTTTCTTAATATAAACATTGTAATTTATTTCTATTTTTTATTTTTTATGATTTTATACATATTATAGTTGTTTTAATTATATAGAAATCATATAATGTAACTATAATGTACCATATAAATTACATAAAATATTTAAATAAATAATATTTAGTTAACATAATTTTCATTTTACATGTATTACTATTATAGCATTCGTGTTAACATAATCACTTACATATTATATTTTAATATAGCATTAGATAATATAATAACATATTAAAATACATATCATTAACTATAATATACATAATTTATTTCAATTAATAACTAAGTGGCAATCATCTATACTTGTAAATTGATATAAATAAACTTAATTTAATTACTTTTATATTTATATCGATTCAATTCGATCAATGAAGGTATTTTATTATACAATTTATCTGATTAAGTTCATAATTATATTAATTGAAACTGATCAATACTTGTAAATTTAATATCAATTCATGCAACTCATTAGATTAAATATATAATTTATTATTAGACGATTAATTGTAATATTCATTAGATGAAATATACAATTAATTAGATCACATTTATAAATAAATTTGGATTTAAATATATAATTTATTATATTTAAACTTTAAATCAATTGAAATATATTAGATTAAATGTGTAATTTATTTTTTAACTTACATCCAGATATATAGTCAATTTAGTTAATTTTTATAATTAGACTCAATACAAAAATTAAATTTATACTTAAAATTAAGCTTAGTGTCTAAAGAATTTTTCGCTTAAAATATATGTCTATCGTTTTCATTATTGCATTTTTAGACATCTAGACCGTCATCAGCATTAAATTGGGACGTTAATTGACACGTGTCGTCTTTATAAAAAATTTAAAATTTTAATTTATATTAAAAAACTTAAAATTATAATTTTTAAGAAAAACCCCAAATTTTATAAAATTACAAAAGAAAAAGCTCAAAATCTCTTAAAGCCCTAATTTCAATCCTTTAACATCTTCCGTCACCATTAATGTCATTAATTGATTGACCACCCAAATGTTGTATGATCTACCAACCACCCTGTAACAATCCGAATTTTTTTACAAAAATAATATTTAATTGAAATTGGAGGTTAATTGTAAAAATTGGTGAAAATTAGGGACTAAATTGAGAGAGTTTAAAATTTGGAGCTTGAGTTAGAGTTAAAGAAAATTCAGGGACTAAGCTCTGAATTTACCCAATAAAATTAGGTGAATTTTGGTTATATATGTTATATGCGTGGGTGGTTTTCTGATTCAAAACAGAAAACCACCACCCCAAATTTCCTTTCCCCTATGTTCGTTTCCGACCCAGATCCAGACGCCGTCCGAATTCTGATCGTCGTTTTGAAACCACCGTTGTGTTCATCATCGAGCGAGGAACAAACCCTTCAATTTAATTGAAGCGAAACGCGGCCAAACGTCGGGAATTTCCAGTTAAAGTATCGACGTTTTTTTTAGCTCTATCGCCGGGAAAATCTTAAATTCACCGCCGATCGTTGCTCCGTTTACGACACCTCTTGCACCATCGTGTTCCTTGTGTCGTTTCGAGTCAGCCGGTGTCAACCTTGTTCGCCGTCGACGGCGGCGCGTGAGGAGGTAGAGCAGTCAAAGATTCGGCCGAGTTGAAATCGAGCTCTCCGCCGTTCAAAAATTTGAACCGATCGTTGTAAGTATCTCGAAATCGCTCAAAATAATTTTTAGAAAGTTTTCCAGGATTTTTAGGGCCCCCGGAGGTGGCCTCACGCGCCACACGCGCCGCCGCAGGGAGAGTAGACGCTGCTGGAAACCGGTTTGACCGGTCTGACCCTACCCAACCAACCCGACCCGACCGTTGACCCGACCCGACCCGACCGTTGACTGTTGACCGTTGACTTCCTTTGACCAAAACTTAAAATGGCTTTGACCGAGCATTAAACGACCGTTAATCTTTTCCGAGTATACCTATTCTGATAGTTTTCGACGTCCCGAATCCGTTTCCGAAGTCTGTTTTGTCAAATTCGAACCCGAAGGCCTCCAAATCGACGGTCAAAGTGGTTGACTTTGACTTTGACCAAGAATTTGAATTTTCGGAAGGTCATACTTTATGTTTTTCGATGCCCTGATTCCGATTCCGCAATCCGTTTGGCCAAATTCAGACTCGAAATACCCCAAATTGATAGTCAAACCCGAAAAATGCTTATATACTTAAGAAGTTTAGCTTTGAACAATTAAATAGGATTTGAGACTGATAAATTATTATTGTTTGAAGGTACAAGAGACTCTCCGGATCGTTCGACAGCTCGACCCATCTCTTCTAGATCAGTTAAACCACGTGTGCCAGTATTCACCCGTAAGACCCGTAAATTTTATGATTTTAGAGATCTATTTATATTACTCATAAGTAATATAGTGTTATTGTAAAATAGGTTCGAAAACTGTAGTAGAGCGTGGTGAAACCAGCAATCAATAGATTTTCTATTTGAACCTATTGTCGAGGTGTGTTCCCTACTTATTACTAAACTGTTTTATTGGTTTTAATATGTGGTACACCGAATTCATTGGTTATTGTTTTATGGATGCACCAATTTAATGTGACAATTTATGGAATATGGCTGCTATCTAATTTTTGTTTTGAAATGGTATATGATTACCATGTTTTTGGATTTATGGAATTTATGTCACGGTGCAATTGAATTTTGGAATTGAATTACGATGGAATAGCTCTGATCAAGCTAAATGGGCCTAATGTGACTCTTGAGGGCCCCAAGATGTTTCATTAGGTCGGCTTTCCTTTGCTGTGTGCTTAGGGTAAGCTATATGGACTTATTGACTTGGGCTTAAGGATACAAGCTTCATAGCCTATCCTTAAGTCGGCTTTCTTTTTGCTATGTGCATAAAGTAAGCTATATGGAAAATAATTTTGGGAACTACTGATGGTGTACCAGAAAAAGGTTTAAACTATGATTTTCAAAAGTTAAACTCTTTTATGAATTTGTGAGATTTACTGGACTATGATTTGTACCTATTATGATTTTATGGAAATGTTGGGACACACTGAGCCTAGCTCACCTTTCGAAAATGTTTTCCCCCTTTCAGATACTGTTGGTTAGATACCTCGGTTCGAGCACTTGGAGGATCAACATATCTCTTGAAGTAAATCAGATTGTAATGTTTTTATTTTGCAAGTTGATTTTATTTTGGTGACATGGACCTTATTTTAAAATATCGGATTTTATAATGATGACTCTTTTGCTATTACTGTTCGGTTTAGTGTGATTTTGAATTTGAAGACATGTTTTAAATTAATTTATTACTTATTGGTACTATATTTACGAGTTGGATTTTGATAGTATAATTTGTTTATAATTTCATGTTATTTATAATGTGATTTTATATTGATGAAATAACGGTTTCGGAAATTGTCTTTAATAATCATAATGTGATCCACTAGACTTAGTCGAAACGCATAGGCCGGGTCTAGGGGGTTACACACCCAACGACTGAAACCTTTTAGTTTGACGATCGACCGAACATCATATTATAGTGTAAATGCAAGAATCTGCAACCGATCGAAAGGGTTTCTCCATGTTGCAATCGCCGATTATCGTTGCAATTAGGGGTTGGAGCAGGGGGTTTTGACCTTTGGGTGTATGCTCGGTTACACGCCATTGGAATTTCGACAGGTTGAAAGTTGACGATGATAAAGGGGTTGAAATTAGGGTTTTTAAGAATATTAGAATTTTTTGCAATTTTAGGGGTTTTAAAAAATAATATTTTAAAGTGTTTTTTAAATAAAAAAAATTTAAAATTCTATAAATGTGATACGTGTCAAATAATGACTGAATTTAATGATGATATTAGTCTAGACATCTAAAATTGAACATTGGAAACATTATACACATATTTTGATCGAAAAATTCTTTAGACACCTAAAGTTAATTTTAGGTATAGTTTGAACATATTTTTAAACAAATTGTGCATTTTATTATCCAAAGAAATCGGATACTCTAATGAATACCCCACCTAGAACAGAGTTGACTATTTATAATATCGTTCCTATTAATTTTTCTACCCCCAAACTTTATCCTAATCCTTAATTACAACCAGAATTTAAGGTAACGAGTAGCCCAAGCTAGCTCATCGTCCTAACTCAACACTCGTCTACAAATATTGCATCAGCTCAAGATGGTTGACCAAATATCCCTATAGAAAGGACATTCGAAGAAGAGATGTTCCCTTCTCTCTAAACTATTGACATAAGTTTCACACTAACTATTCACCTCCAACCCCATGCGTAATGCTTTTTTCTAGTAAGAAATCTCCCCAAGATCGTCATCCAGTAGATTATAGCATATTTAGAGATATGAAGAGGAAATTATATCACCTTATGCCAAGCAACTTTTCCACCAATACAAGAAATAACATCCCATATCCACTTTACCTTTATCCTTCTAAGATCATTCGCTGTAAACAAAGCTTGAGCTTCTCCCTTAAGGTCAAGCAGAGTTTTAAGGATCCAACTGACATTAATATTACACCTTAATTGTCAAAAATTAGACCCTTT